CGCAGTCTTAGATGCTGTTATTTTACTCATGGCGTCGGCTGAAAGAAATAAACAGCAAAGTTAGTAAAAATCCCAAGTAAACAAGGCGTGAAAAAACAGAGTATTCGTCAGGCCGGCTACCTCTAGAGCACCGACTGCCGAGGCCACAGGCGGCCAAGAAGTACTCATCATAGAGCCACTTGAAGCTCGGGACGCAGTGTAGGGGTACTTGCTCTCGTACCCCTGAAGTAGAGTTCACCCTAGTCTCTACTTTGAAGAGTCCTTTGTCTAGGATCTCTCTTTTAGCCTTTGGGGGAACAGGCGGCATGCTGCGGCCGCCTGCAAGAAGAGGCGGATCCCTGTTCCACTTGTTAAAACGTTTGTTCAGCTCCGTGTCTGAACTCTCGATAATAAGGAAGCTGTTCCGCCAATCCTTCCATTTGTTTGCCTTACCTCTCGTCATGAGGTAACCCCTGTGGCTTGTTAGTTGATACCAGCCGGTACCTCCCGACTTAGGGGTCCGGCTGAGATAGTTCATGTGGGCGAAAGCCTCAAAACTCGGCTCCACCCCGTTCAGTTCGCACCCGGCCACATAGCCGAGTACGTTTACCCAAGAGTTGGGGGCTAACTGCCATAACCCCAGATCATACCCATCTAAAATCCGCTGAACAGCCGGATGTAATGGGAAGCGCAGACCAGCTTTGATGGCCGCCACATAGCAGCCAAAACAGCCGTCACCATAGCTGGTACCAGCCGGCCAGACGACAGTATCTTCTGGATCCGGCACAAACAGTAAATACTCCGGGCTCATTTTGTGGTTAGCAATAAAGCTCGCCACGTTGTCTCGCATGGTTGCGATCCGGCCCCGGGGCACCCTGCAGTAGTAGGGGGTGTTTTCCTCTCTGTAAGAGGCGGACGGCTCTGCCCAATTATCCCCCTTCTCCACTGCATGGGAACTTCTCGCCTCTTGTAGGCGGTTATGTTTTTCTTCTGAGTCAGAAGAACTATGGTCAGAAGAACTATGGTCAGAAGAGCTGGAATCGGACTCGTCCCCTGACGAGTCCGAAGAGGACGACTCCTCCCCTCTCCTAGAGGGGCCCGCCTCCTCTCCCTTAGAAGGAGCAGAAGGTAAATTAGACATGTCCACGGTTAGATGAGAAGGGAACACCTTGGTCCCTCTCTCAGAACTGTCAGCTTGACAGTCGCCTCGTTCCACATCTGGCGCCTGGTCAGATGTTTCGCTAAGGAGTACCCTTTGGGAGGAGCCGTCTGAGTTTGATATTCTAGCAGTCTTTTTTGTTCTGGCCATCACGTTCTGCATAGACACAGATTCAGTCGGACTTTGTATAAAGGGCAAAGATGGGTCCAGAAAAGGGCAGGCGGCACTCCTAGTCCTAGATTCAGCCGTCCCCGGTGACCGGCTGATCACTAACTTAGGGCGTGTCGTGTGCTTCCATGGTGCCATTTCAAAAAATAAAAAGAAAATTAAGAGTAAGAGAACTGAGTTACCTGAACGGATGACAGTTGATGAAGTCCTGAAAGTTCGGGTCAGTCGGCTTGTCAGAACAGGCGGTAGGCAGAAAAAGTCCGAAAATGTCAGATCAAGTTCAGGGGTCCGAATGTTCTCGCAAAAATTCTCAAATGTGAAAATGACCGAAGTCAGCACTTCCTTTTATAGGCAAAATGAGAAGGCGAAGGGTCGCTTCCGAATTCAAATTTGGGCGGGAGAGTCTCCCGGCCGTCTGCAAGGTGACACCTGTAACGGGCCGTCGCCTGTCACCGTGCGACACCTGTCACAGGCGACACGAGACCAGTCGCGTGCCACCTGTGAGGGGCAAATGATTAGGGGATTTTTATCCACCAAGCGCCGTTTGACAAGTGGACCAACCAGGTTCCGCCACGCGTCCTCCACGGACCACTTAAGACACGCCACGTGTCCACCCATGCCAAATGGGACAACCGGCCATCAAGGCCCATTTCAGTCTAGAAGCCCGATCGGCCCTAGGTTTACCTTAAACCTAGAGAGTTGCACGCTTCCCAAGGCTATAAATACTCGATTAATCCTCATTAATCAAGGGACCGAATAATTTACGGAACACACTAATAACCGGCTGATCTCGCTAGCAAAGCAGATTACCTACATTAAATACTCTCACCTGGAGAGACCTTATTACTTTAATTTCTGTATTAATTACTCCTTAATCAGGTACTAACTTGACCGTTGGAGGCGGAGCTCTCAGGAGTCTCCGTTATTTTGCAGGTACAGGCGTCCGGTTCCAGTCTCGGAATTGTAGCTCTCCCGCAGGACATCAGAAAACCCCGAAACAGAAGGAAACAGAGGTTGACAAATGAGTCAACTTGTAAAAGCATTTAAATATTTTTAAAATAATTGCTCAGAAATCCAATTTACAACAATGCCATTTGAAATATGAAATTCGTTATTCAATTTGGGTAACTCGAACAACCTCGTTAACAGTACCTTAAGTTATTAGAGACAGAAATTTTCTAGTATAAATAGATATTACCTTATTTTCAATTTTTCATTACAGTATTTGTTTTTAATTTCAAAACTTGTGTGATGTTTAAAAAAAAACTTATGTGATGTTGTAACTTAAAAGTGAGTCCTTTCCTTGAATAATGCTCCAATTACTTCCAATTCCATAAATACAACTAAACTTTTATGATTTCCCAATTTACTGTCCACGTCACCATTTAAGAATTAAACCTATATATATATATTTTTTAATGGTTTAACACAAAACCGCCAGTTGAATTTGATGTTTTCAATTGGGAGAAAACAACCAACTCAAAGTGGCGGTTTCCTTTTCATGTAAAAAAAAAATTTTCTCTAAAAAAATTCTACAATAATTTAGGGAAGAATTCATATGAAAAATAGAGGGGAAACGAGATCCTGTAAAATTAATTACACTCCTCCAAATCAAATAAAAAACAAAATTAAAACTTAATTTGCTAGTGAAAAAAAAAATCAAAGTACTCTGATTTTAGAGAGAGAAGGGCAAGAACAAGAGAGAAGTTGTCATATATTTCATTATTATGTAAAATATTACAATGAGGAAAACTGAAACAATCTCATAGTTAGATCTAAACTACATACTTACTAAAATAAAAAGTTTTATAAACCTTGTTGCACCTAATGTGAGGACGAAGACAATGATATTGGCGGTGAAGTCGGCAAAGGCAGCGGCGCATAACGATGGAGAATTGAGAAATCCCCTAACAAATTTTATTTGAGGATGCTAGGCAATTGAGAAAGAAAATATAAAGAATTAATGAGAGAAGTAGAGTGATGAGATCTGAAATTTGAGTGAGGTATAATGGATAATGGGCAATGGAGAATTGGGGACTTTGGTTTTATCGAAAAAGTGATTACTTTGAGGATAAAAGAGCAGAGAGATGAGGATGAAATTTTGATAGTACTAGTGAGTGGAAACCGCTACTTCAAGTTGTAGTGTTCCCACTTAAACCGCCATCTCAAATAGCGGTTTCGCCAATTTATTCAGAAAAAAGAAAATTCATTAAATGGCTGAGGTGGATAGTATATTGGGAATTATAAAAAACGGATATTTCATCAAATGCCACTGAGTAATTTAAAAATTCACCAAATGCCATCGGACTTTTCAGAATTCACCAAATGCCACTGAGTTTTTAAAAAATTCATCGAGTGCCATTAATGACTAACGGCAGTTAACTCCGTTAGTCGTTAAGGCTAATTATGCCACGTGGTGTATTCTAATTGGTTCACTTTATTATTATTATTATTATTATTTTATTTATCAAAAAAAATTAAAATCAGAAGTTTTCAAAAAAAAAAAAAACAAAAAAAAATTAAATCAGAAACAAAAAAAAAACCCTAGCCACTCTTCCCACCGCACCACGGCACCACCGCCCCTACGACCAACATCCTCACCCCCACCGATGACCAACATCCTCTTTGGTGTCGGCGACCACCCTTCCCCCTACCCCTACCATCTCCATCCACTTCCCCCCCTTAAACCACCATCCTCGACACCCTAAAACCTCAAAATTGAAATCTCCAAAATCGAAACCCTAAATTTCGATTTTAAGGTTTTCGATTTTGGGTTTTAAGTGAGGTGGTTCAGGGGGGTGGAGATGGGAGGGGAAGGGCTGGTTTGGGTTCGCCGGAGCGGGGAAGGGGCTTCGAATTATGGGAAATCGATATTGGGGGTTTAAGGTGTCGAAACCCTAGATTTCGATTTTGGGGTTTTTAATTAAGGGATCCGGCGGTGGGGGGGGGGAGTTTGGTCATCGGCGGTGGGGGGGGAGTTTGGTCATCGGCGGTGGGGGGGGAGTTTGGTCATCGGCGGTGGGGGGGAGTTTGGTCATCGGCGGTGGGGGGGGGGAGTTTGGTCATCGGCGGTGGGGAGGGGAGGGATTGTCGAGGGAGAAAGAGAGTTTGTGCATCGCGGCTGGGTTGCGTCGTCGGCGTGGGTTGGCTAGGCTGGGTTGCGTCGTCGGCGTGGGTTGGCTAGGCTGGGTTGCGTCGTTGGCGCGGGTTAGCTAGGCTGGGTTGCGTCGTCGCCGGTGCGGTCGTCGGCGTGGGTTAGCTAGGTTGGCGCGGGTTAGCTAGGCTGGGTTGCGCCGCGGTGGGGACTGGCTGGAGGCGGAGATATGGTGGTGGCAGTGACAGACGGTGGTTGGGGCTGGTTCATGGTGGTTGCTTTTTTTTTTAAAGTTTTTTATTAAGTAATTAATTTACTAATTTAATAAGCAACCACTCATAAGCCACCACGTGGCATAATTAGCCTTAATGACTAACGTAGTTAACTGCCGTTAGTCATTAATGACACTCGGTGAATTTTTTAAAAACTCAGTGGCATTTGGTGAATTCTGAAAAATCCGATGGTATTTGGTGAATTTTTAAATTACTCAGTGGCATTTGATGAAATATCCGTATAAAAAAAATAGCTGTATACTATATGAAATTGCAATTCTTCCCAAGCACTCCTTAAAAGTAATTGATTTTCAAAATAAACTTCAACGAGTAGCAATACTTTGAACACCCTTCTCTCCTTCCACGAATAGAGCAATTTGAACAAAAATCATGGTCCCAACCAATTACTCTCACTATTTTTCTCTCCTTTCTTCTTGCAAAAATATGAGCTCCCTTCTCAGCATTCATGGCCGTTTGGTAGTTCTGGGTATGTCCCATACCAATTCAATCCTTACCCATTTGATAAACACCTATTCTTCACTCCAAAAATGTGATTTTGCTAAGTTGGTTTTCGATTCTGTAACAAACCCAGATGTAATTTTGTATAATTCGATGATTAGAGCATATTCAAGGTCTGATCAATTTGATAAAGCATTAGAATTGTATGGTAGAATGTTAGAAAGAGAATTAGTGCCTGATAAATATACTTATACTTTTGTGCTTAAAGCTTGTGCTGGTAATTTTGACTTAAAAGAGGGTGTTAGGGTTCATAATGACGTGATTAGAAGAAAATTGGAGTTGGACGTGTATATTTCCACTAGTTTGGTTGATATGTATTGTAAAATGGACCGACTTGATCATGCACGGGAAGTGTTTGATAAAATGCCTAAGACAGATATTGTTTCTTGGAATGCTATGATTGCTGGACTTTCAAAGGATGGGCCTGATGAAGCATTGGGGTTTGTCCGGGAAATGCAGCGAGTTGAGGTTGTGCCGAATTCTGTTACATTGTTGAATATGTTTCCTAGTGTTTGTAAATTGGAGAATGTAAGGTTGTGTAGGTCAATTCATGGCTTTGTGATCAGGAGAGGTTTTCCAACTAAAGTTTACAATGGATTGATTGATATATACTCTAAATGTGGGTTTTTAGAATATGCTCGAACTGTTTTTGATCAGTTGCGTGGTAGGGATCATGTGTCGTGGGGAACGATGATGGCTGGTTATGCTCATAATGGATATTTCTGTGAAGTCTTGGAGTTATTTGATGAGATGAAGGGTAAGAGTGCAGTGATGAATAAAATCTCTGTTGTTAGTTCCTCTTTAGCTGCTTCCCAGTTGAGAGATTTAGAGGAAGGGAAGGAGATTCATAATTGTGCAATGCAATATCGTATTGACTCAGATACTATAGTTGCTACTTCTCTGATGACAATGTATGTAAAATGTGGAGATTTAGGAAAAGCCAATCAAATTTTTAGGGCACTCAAGGAAAAAGATTTGATTGCTTGGTCTGCTTTAATTGCTGCATTTGTACAATGTGGGTTCCCTGTAGAAGCAGTATCACTATTTCGTGAAATGGTGCATGATAAGCTAAAACCAAGTAGTGTAACTCTGTTGAGTATCTTTCCAGCTTGCGCAGAACTTTCATCCGGAAAACCAGGAAAAAGCATTCACTGTTATTGTCTTAAAGCAGGTACTGATTCAGAAATTGCAGTCGGGAATGGCCTAGTTTCAATGTACGCTAAGCGGGGGTTGTTCACTCAGGCTCTGGCCTTCTTTTATAGAATGCCGAGCAAAAACATAGTTTCCTACAATTCACTGATAAGTGGATATTCTCATAGTGGCAACATATGTCAAGTGATGAAAAAATTTCTTGAATTACTAACTTCAGGGTTAAAACCTGATTTTGAAACTATGGTGAGTGTGATCCCATCTTGTGCACTTTCTCAAGATCTAAAACAAGGGACATGTGTTCATGGCTTGATTTTAAAAGGCGGATTCGCATCTGAGTGTCATGTAAAGAATGCTTTGATTGACATGTATGGCAAGTGCAACAGGATATGTTCCGCTGAGAAGTTATTTAATGAAATGGACTCCATCAAAGACGAGGTTACTTGGAATGCCATAATTTCCAGTTATGTGCATAACAGGAAGTCCAAAGAAGCTCTTTATGCCTTTTGTCGGATGAAATCTGAAGGACTACAGCATTCTGCAGTTTCTATGGTAAGTGTCCTTCCTGCAGTAGCAGATCTAACTGCTCTCCCAGAAGGTATGGCACTTCATGCCTGTACAACAAAAATGGGGTTTCAGTGCAATACACACATTAGTAATAGTCTTATTGATATGTATGCCAAATGTGGACACTTTGATTGTTCAGAGAAATTATTTGATGAGATGAAAAACAAAGATACAGTAACATGGAATACAATGCTTGCTGGGTATGCCTTTCATGGGCATGCAGCTCGTGCTGTTGAACTTTTTTCACAGATGCAATGTGATAACGTTATGGTTGACTCAGTGACTTTTCTGAGTGTCCTGTCAGCATGCAGACATGGTGGTTTGGTAGAAGAAGCAAGAAGAATATTCAATTCCATGCATGAAAAGTTCCATCTTCAACCCAAATTGGAGCACTATGCTTGCATGGTTGATTTGTTGGGCCGTGGTGGTCTATTTAGTGAAATCACAAACCTCCTGAATCAAATGCCAGTCGAACCTGATGCTGCTGTTTGGGGAGCTTTATTGGGCGCATGTAGAATGCATTCTAATTCAGACTTGGCAGAAATGGCATTGAACAAGTTAGTGGAACTTGAGCCTGGAAACCCCGCACATTTTATTGGTTTATCAAATATTTATGCTCAATCTGGTAGGTGGGTTGAGGCTAAAAACATGAGGTTGCAACAAAGTGATGCTGGGCTCAAGAAAATCCCGGGATGCAGTTGGGTTTAGGTCAAGAAAACTTTTAGATTTCAGAAAGATACTTGAATCTGGTAGCTGTGAGCCTCTGATGAGAGCATGTAACAGAATTTTGTGGTTACTTCCATACCAATTTGTGAGAAAGTGAGCTCCACATATTTCTTTATGCACTCACAGAAGAAGATTGGCCGTGACTATGCTCACCAAGGACCAAAACCATGTAATGGCAGTATCAATAATTTTTAATTGCTGGTAATTGATCTTGCTTTGTAGTCATTTTTGCTGATGCTTGCATTTACTCTTCTACTATGATACAGTGTTCAGATATGTATTATTTCGAGGAAGAGAAGACAGCAGAGATTGCAGCCTATTATAAAACACGAAGATATAACAGGTAATCCTCATTTTATAACCTTCCCATATTCAAGTTTCATTTACATAGAAGTATTAAATTTTGTAGATTGCGGAAATCATAACATTGCTCAAAGGTCTAATTTGGGGATGGAGGGGAATGAGGGGGACTAGTTATACCTAGGACAGTACCATTTCATCTCATAACTTATGGTTGCAGGACACCTAATTTGAGTCTTCCTTTGCTTAAGTTTCACTTTGCATACATAAGAAGGTAGGCTTTGGCTTGATTCTTCTTTAGAATGGTGGGATGATAATCCATTGACAACATACAACTGATACAAGCAAGATGCTTAAAAAATACAGATGGTTTACTTAATATAGTTAAACCCATAAATCCCATTAGGTACACTGACAAAAGTGTTTGCAGCTTACCCCTTCTAATTTTAAACAATAAAAAATTCATTTGCAAGCAGCGCTCAACCAAAAAGGTTGGGGGCTGTTGTCGGCCTACGAATGTGGTTTCAATCCTTTCGGTGATGCCAGGCCGGCCTATATTTAAATGAGAATGCCGTGTCGTCCAGATAGTCTATTGTTATTTGATCAGAGGGTCTCACAATATTAGCTAGTATGCCTAACTTAATTTCCCATTCACCATTTATAGTTGTTTCTATTTGTCTAAGTCACTTCCTTTTTTGTCCAAGTCATTGGGGGCGATCTTAATGGACATGTGGGCATTAGGAGGGATGGCTTTGAAAGTATTCATGGATGTTTTGAACAATGGAGATAGGAATGAAGTGGGAAATTATATTTTAGATTTTGCATTGGCATAGCTTTTAAGTATCATGAACACATGGTTTGAAAAAAGGACCTCTCACCTAGTGACTTATAGGAGTTCGGGCAATGCAAGTCAAATTGATTTCTTCTTGGTAAGGAATGCTTGGAGCAAGAGTTATGTTGATTGTAAGGTGATCCGTAGGAAGAGTACAATAACTCAAGATAGACTTGTGGTGCTTGATTTTTGAGGCAGTAGATATGTAAGGAAGCGGAGACCACAAGTGGAGCCTAAGATTAAGTGGTGGAAACTTCAAAGGAGAACCAACAAAAAAATGTAAGAAAGATGGAGGATGTAGGAATTTGGTTTGGTACCATTGATTTGGATGTAGATGCAGGGTAGAGTAAAATGGAGCATAGCATAAAGGAAGTGGTGAAAATAATCCTAGGAGAATCCAAAGGAAGCATGCCATCGAGTAAGGACACATCTTGGTGGAATGAAGAAGTGGCGATAAAGAATAAACGAGATTGCTATAAGATCTTGATCGTTGAAGTATAAAGAAGCTAGAAAAGAAGCGAAGAAAGCTGTAAGGGAGGCGAGTATGAAAGTGAACTGAGACCTTTATGCAAGCTTGGATACAAAGGAAGGAGAAAAAGGCATCTATAGGCTTGCTCATATTAGAGATCGGAAGACATGGGATATTGGAAAGGTCAAATGTGTGAAGCATATTGACGAAAGAGTTCGGGGACAAGGAAATAAAGGATAGATGGAGGTCTTACTTTGATAGTTTATTCAATGGAGATCGAACTCAGTGATACAAGTGTCCCTCATGATATGATTAATCGGGAGTTTATGTGGAGGATTCATTGGGAGAAGTTAAAATGGCACTAAAAAGATGGGATTGAAAAGCGGTCGGACCTGATAGCATTCTTGTTAAGGTTTGGAGATGTTTGGGAGAAACAAGAATTGAATGGTTGGCAATTTTTTTCAACAAAATTTGGGGATGTAATAAGATGCCTTTTGTGTAGTGGAGAAGTACTTTGATACCTTTGTATAAGAACAAAGGTGATGTCCAAGATTGTGCTAACTACCGAGAGATCAAACTAATGAGTCATACTACGAAATTTTGGGAGCGAGTGATACTACAAAGGTTAAGGAGAAGTGTGAAGATCTTGGAAAACCAATTTGCATTGAAGATCGACTGTGGAGGCAATCCATCTTATGAGACAAATAATGCAGATATATCGGGATAAGAAGAAGGATTTACATATGGTTTTTATTGATTTTGAGAAGGCTTATGATAAGGTACAAGGGAGATTCTTTGATGGGCTTTAACAAGGAAAGGCGTTTCGCGGAAATATATTGACATCATTAAGGACATGTATGAGGGAGCTAGCACAAGTGTGTGGACCATTGTTGGGAAGAATGAAGAATTCCAAAATACAATTGGAGTTCATCAAGGTTCTGCACTTAGTCCTTTTCTTTTTGCTATAGTCATGGATGAAATGACGAGTGCAATTCAAGATGATATACCATGGTGCATGATGTTTGCTGATGATATTGTGTTGATTGATGAGACAAAAGAACGCTTCCCTTCTCTAGTCCTGAACCGTATATATACAAATTACATATCATAAATCTTTAATAATGTAAACCCACATCAAGATCATAAAAATACCCTCAATTAATGGGATTTATTTGTAAAAGTATTCAATATACAAATTGAAGAATAATACCAAAAATCAATTATGAAGGTGAACTAAACAATACACCACCAGATGGACATCACATCCATCCCGCATCCATCCCTCGTCCGACGACCACCATAAAGTCAGCCTACATCATCAATTTTCAACTCAAACACACTCCGACCCTAATGAATGGGGAGGTGAGATGGTTCGATGGTTGTAGATATTGTAGTCGCTTGATCCCTTGCATGCATTGGGGTGAGATGTAGAGAAAATTTTACATTTTACTATAAGAAGAGAGTATAAGGGTGAATTGAAGATTAGAAGAACAAGGATAAAGAGTAATAAAGAAAAAGGAGAGAGAAAGAGATAGAAGGGAATGACGACTAGAGGAGACTAGGAGAGAGAATATGGTGGTGGGTGGGGAATTAAAACCTTAACCCTTGATGATTCAGCATATTAAAAAAAAAAAAAAAAATAAACCTATCTCACGGGTCAGCGGACGGTTACCTGCCACTCTCATAGGTCGGGTACCCTACCCGCTAATTTCAAAAGAATTTAAAAAATTCCTGGTAAAATTAGTCGGGTCATCGGGTCGGGTATTTTTGAACACCCCTAGTTTTAACCACTCTTTTAAAACTTTCTTGAATTTTATTCTTGATTTTCTTTATAACATTCTTAATTTTTCTTAAATGCTCTTTCCAACGTGGACCAATGTGATATTATTATTATTAATGTGATGTTTCCAACGTGGACCAAATAGTAGCTTAACTAAATGTTCCCCTCCATGCACTCTCTTCTAGAGTTAGTAAATGATGTAATAGTTAAAAAGAAAAAAGTTAAGTCTTGGTGGAACATGGAGAAGAAGAACTAGTTAGTATCACGACATTCTCATTCAATTACGAACAACAGAACTACCTACACATAGGCTTACGAATGAAACTAAGTTGCACTTAAACAGCAACCAACAAACTAAGTGGATAAACATGATCCCACATCATACTCCACTAATACAACTAATTAGGTACATCATCATTATTTAGATAAATTAGCTACCCTTTTTTTTTTTTTCTTTTTTTTTTTCACAGGAAATTAGCTTAATCAAATTAAATATCAGTTGTCAGGAACTCATTTTCAGTTGATTTTGTGAACAATTACTTGCTAAAAAGTTCTATAAAAAAACACTACCCAAAATTTAAAAAGTTTGGGCATCACTACCCTTTTTTCTTTTTTCCGGCAAGCAATTCCGGCAAGTGGGGCCCATATGTTTTTTCCCTAAAAATACATAAAACATCCTCACCCTTGTATGTATTAATCAACCTGCCTCTTCTTTGCAAAAACTTAATCCAAAAAACCAAATCTTTGTGAAAAAACAAGTCGTTTTTTTTTCCTCTTTGGAACTCAATTTAAAATATAACAAACAATTAATACTACTTCCCCCCAAAATCCATAACTTAATCTCCAATAGGATAACATGGAATTATTATTTCTTCGAAAGTTATTTTATTTCTTTCCGCTACACCATTTTGTTGTGGTGATATAACATGGAATTATTATTTCTTAAAAAGTCCTATTTTTCCTTTCCGCTACACCATTTTGTTGTGGTAAGTATGGTGCGGCAGTTTCATGTACTACATTACTATTTCTATTGATTGAAAATAACTTGAATTATAGTATTCACCACGTTTATCGGTTCCTTATCTTTTGATTTTACCATTTGTTTGCAATTTTACTTCATTTTTGTAGATTTTAAATATAGTAAGGGCTTCATTCTTAGAATGCAATAAATTAACATAGCTAAATCTTGAAAAATCATCAATGAAAGTTGCTAAATTCTTTTTGTTGCCTAAGGAAGGTGTGCTATGAAAATCACATAGACCACTATGCACTAATTCAAGCATGATTATTCTTTTCCCTTGTGATTATGTCAACATGCATGTTGTACACTTCTCTATCTTTGGATCAAAAGACGGAATTAAATCATGTATTGACATAATAAATAAATTTTTTATAATTAATATGTCCAAGTCTTACATGCCATGGAGAAGAGCAATCATTAACAACATACAAATTGTCTCTCAAAGTATTAGAAATATTAACCTTAAACATTCTATCACATAAATAGCTAAGTCCTACCAATAAACTATCTTTAGACAATATAAATTTACCCGACTCAAATAAGAGATTTGTCGATTCAAAATAAACTATCTTTAGACCATTTTAAATCTAAACGATTCAAGATAGCACCGGACCCAAGATTTCCCCTAAGCTCGGGAGCATACAACACATCCCTTAAAACAAGAGATTTGTCGAGCTAAACATTAACTCTACTTGTCCCTAACCTAGTACTTTTGCGGTGGAATCGTTCCTCGTGTAAAGAATCTCTCCATTGAGCAGCTCAATAAGGGATTTAAACAACAAACGATCTTTGCAAACATGCCTCGATGCTCCAGAATTAATGTACTAAGAAGTATCACCCTTGCTTGTCTTAGGATGGCTTGACCCGCCTTTCTCACCTTAAGCCTTTTTGTTGTTCATCTTTTTCCTCCAAATGGTACAATCCTTTTTGAAATGACTGGG